CAATTGATCTGAGATCCGTTCTGGGATTTGTGCAGCTAAAGCAATTTGAGAGTGAAGGGTTTATCTCTATAAATGCCTGTACCCACAGAAGTCAAAAAGATACAGAAAGGAATCTAATGAAGTGATTCTCAAAGAGCTGGAAAAGAAGAACACGACCTACCTCCAAACCCAGCAGAAGAAGTGAAACACAATCAAGACATATCTAAACGATGAAAACAGAGAAGCTATTCAGGAGATTAATAGAACAAAAGTTGGTTCTTGTTTTGTAATAATATATAAATCATAATATTTGATCACATTTCATGTTTGCTAGAGCTAAGGAGGCAGAGAAGAGAAATCTCTAATAAGTTCTGCCATCAGGGAACAAAAAAGAGGATCAGCACGATGACAGTGATCCCAAAGAGAGTACAAGATATAATCTATGAAGTATTGACAAAAATCTTTATGCAGTATCAAACTGAAAATGTGGAGGGAAATGTGATCTAATATTTTCCATTTATATTCTATCATTCAGTCTCTTTCCTCAAGGCTCTATTCAGGAAGAAATAGATTCCCTGAACAGACCAATCTCAAGAGCTGAAATAGAAACAGCAATTAAAAATCTCCCTAAAAAGAAAAGTCCCAGTCCAGATGGTTTCACACCCGAATTTTACCACACGTACAAAGAAGAACTAGTACCTATCTTGCAGAAACTATTCCATACCATCAAGAAGAATGGAAACCTCCCCGACACCTTTTATGAAATGAATATTACTCTGATACCAAAACCAGGAAAGGATGCAACAAAAAAAGAAAACTACAGACCAATATCCCTAATGAATATAGATGTAAAAATTTTCAACAAAATCTTAGCTAACCGAATCCAGATGCTTATCAAAAAAATAATCCATCACAACCAAGTGGGCTTCATCCCAAGGATGCAGGGATGGTTCAACATACATAAATCTATAAATGTAATTCACCACATAAACAGAAGCAAAAACAGACCACGTGATTCTTTCAATAGATGCAGAAAAGGCTTTTGACACAATTCAACACCCTTTCATGATACGATCACTTAAGTAAATAGGCATAGAAGGAACATACCTAAAAATGATAGTTAGATCTTTTTTATAAATTCATTTGGCCTATCTCTTTTAATCATATTATTTAATTCACATATATTTAATGTAATTATTGATAAGGTTGGATTTTTCTACCATTGTGTCTATATATTTTTTTGAGACAAGAGTCTCACTCTGTTGCCCAGGCTATAGTGCCATGGCATCAGCCTAGCTCACAGCAACCTCCAACTTCTTGGCTCAAGCGATCATCCTGCCTCAGCCTCCCAAGTAGCTGGGACTACAGGCATGCACCACGATACTTGGCTAATTTATATATATATATATATTTTTTTTTTTTTTTAGTTGGCCAATTAATTTCTTTCTATTTTTAGTAGAGACGCGGTCTTGGTCTTGCTCAGGCTGGTTTCGAACTCCTGACCTTGAGCCATCTGCCCGCCTTGCCTCCCAGAGTGCTAGGATTACTGGCGTGAGCCACCAGTCTGGCCTTGTGTCTATATCTTTTGTCTTCTATTTCTGTATTCCTCTATTACTGTGTTTTTGTGTGTGTTTAATCGATATTTTCTAGTCTCTCACTCTAACTCCCTTTTCATTTCTTTTACTACAGTTTTGTGGGTATCACTTTCTTAGTGGCTGCCCAAGGGACTAAAATTAACAAGCTAGTTTGAAGTGATACCAACTTCATTACAGTAATATAAGGAGAGCTGCAAACACTCCTTTTCCTTTGTCCTATTATACAAGTTACGTTTTATGGCCATTAATACAGGTTTATAATGATTGCTTTGTGCGATTGTGTTATATAGGAGAAAAATACAAACAGAAAAATACATATTTTTATATCTACCTACATAACTATCTTTACCGACACTCTACGTTCTTAGGCAGATTTTAGTACCCTCTGGTCTTGTTTCCTCTCAGCCTGAGGATATACTTAGTGTTTTGTAGGGCATGTCTGATAGCAATAAACTCTTTAGTCACTTATCAGAGAAGCCCTAATTTATTATTTATTATTGAAGGATAGATTTGTTAGGTATAGTAGCATTCTTGGTTGGCAGCCTTTTTCTTGAAGCACTTTAATATGTCATCTGCCTGTTTTCCCATATCTCTGATGAGCAATCAGCCGCTCATCTCATTGAGAATCCCTCGTATGTGATGAGTTACTTCTCTCTGGCAGCCTTCACGGTTCTTTGTCTTTGATTGTCAGCAGTTTGCTTATCCTGTTTCTGGGTATGGATGTGTTTGGGTTTATGCTACTTGGAGTTAGTTAAGCTTCTTGAATACGTAGATTAACATTGTTCATCAAATTTGGGGAGTTTTCAGCCCCTATATTTTCAAATATTCTTTTTATTACTTTTCCTCTTCTCTACTTTGGAGACTCCCATGACACATGTGTTCATGTGCTTCATGACATCCCACAAGCCTCTGAGGTTCTGTTTAATTGTCTTCATTCCTTTTTCTGTTTATCAGACTAAATAATTTCAGTTGACCTATCTTCAAGTTCCTTTCCCCCATTTTCCCCTCTCTTCTGCTCAAGTGTGTTGGGACCCTCTGATACACTTTTCATTGTAGTTATCATACTTTTCAGCTTCAGAATTCTGTTCTTTAGATTATAATGTCTCTTTCTCTTGGGTTTATTGCATCTATTAAATGAAATGGCTGACTTAAAGCTGTCCCGCAGTCTCACATCTGGGCTTCTTCATGAATAGCACCCATTGACTGTTTTTCTTCCTCTATATGGGCCATGCTTCCTTTGTATGTCTCTTCATTGATTGTTGAAAACTGGACATTTTAAATAGCGTGGTAACTCTAGAAATCAGATTCTGCCTCCTCCCCAGAATTTGTTATTATTTCTGGTGGTTGGTTGTCTGTGACTTTTTTCAAACTATTTCTATAAAGTTTGGATTCTTTGTCATATGTAGCCATGAAAGTTTCAACTTGGTTAGCTTAGTGGTCAGCTAATGATTAGACAGAATTCCTTAGGGGCCTGAAACCAGCAAGTCTCCCAGTCTTTGCCAAGGGGTCTGTATCTGCCTTCAACACTCAGCCAGCCTATGGGCAGTCCTGCCTTAGCCTTCATTCCCTGCTGTGCAGGGTCTAGAGTTAGGGACTTTTTGGGTCTTTGGAGAACATGCATACAGTCGTACATATGCACATGGCTTTTTAAATTCACAGGGATGTACTAGAGCTTTTCAAAGCCTCCTATAGACATATTATTTCCCAGGATTTACTTTTAACCTTTTTTGGTTACCCTATTTTTCGCTCCAGCTTTTATCTACCAGCTCAGTCTGCGATAGTATTCAACAGTTCCTCTGCTTATGTTCAAGAAATGTCACCTGGGAAAAGGCTGTTCGCACTAGGTATGCTTCAAGTCAGATCAAACGCAGATAACCTTACAAGTGGGGTCTTCCAGGGAACTACCAAATCGGCCAGATGATGTCAGTTCTCTGGGAATGGGCCTTGGAGGGTATCCAAACCATCTGGCCCCTGCAGTGGCTACAAGGCTGCTGGTTTCCATCATAAATGTGAGTTGTTTTGTTTGAGACTACCGTAGAGCTGTCGGTAACATTAAAGCTCACTGTTCTTATTAAAATTCTGTTATTTTTCTTGAATAAATGCTCCCTGTATTGCTGAAAGCCTTTTGTTAATTTCCATATTTCTGGAAAAGTTGATTCTGACAATATTTATCAGTACTCCAATTGCTTTTATGGAGGAGAGAATTTTCAGAGATCCTTTTCTGCCATTTTTGCTGACATCTATAAAATGATAAATTTTAATATTCCTTTTACATTTATTAGCTAGAATCCTTTAAAGGACTTTTCCTTATCAGCTGTTTTATTACCATGGAATATAGTTTGTAAACAAATGACAGAATAAATATATGGTAAGAGTCTTCAGTTGCCAAATTTCAGAGATTTTAATTTATGTACATTTTGATGAGAAATCATATTTGAGTATCATAATCTGGGTCTAGATGTGCTCCTTGCTATGTCATTACTTTTAGGCTTTTTCAAGTGGGCAGACACATGAAGTAATTATTTTTTAGAAAGAAAATTTAAAGGTTTTCTTTTTTAACTGAAATCATGCACTCATACTGGTTTTTTCCTATTCACAGTTAAGATTACAGGATATTTACTTTTGTTTCACTTTGATACTAAAATTCTTGCTTTTTGACATGAATAATTATTTCTTTATATCACAATATACGTACATAATTTCGAAATAATTCATAAGACTACTTGAATAGTTTTCTTTATAGGTTGTTTTATCATATTATGTTTTTGGTTTCTTTGTTTATATGTCTGTTTATTGTCATTGGGAAATATCTGACTAGTGCTATAAATTCACAATAATACAGTGTTTTAATCAAAAACTAAAAAGCATTCAAATGCCCATCGCTGGTAGAATGGTTCATTTGTGGCACATTCACAGAATGGAATATGGTACTCGATAAAAATGAATAAAGCACAACTACATGCAACAATATGGATAAATCTCTTCTTTTTATAATGTTATAAAAAGAAGCCAGACACAAATAAGCTTATATAATTCTGTATATATCAAGTATAAAAATAGGCAAAACTAATCTATTCTGAAAGAAGTTACTGTTAGGGAGCTAGCAGCTTAGAGGACGTAGGAGATTCTAACGGCTAGTAAATGTTTTATTTCTTAGTTTGGGTGCTACTGATCTGGGGGTGTTTCATTTGTGAACATTTTCAAACTGTAAAATCATGTGTAATTTTCTGTGTATTATGCTGCAATAATTTTAATTGTGTTTTAAAGTCAATTGAAATAGTTCTGTGTGTGGTTATTCCACAGCTTACTACAAAGTTAGACTAGACTTCTTTTCAAACTCATTTTGCATGTATACACTCAGAATATGAGACTGGCAACCTAGATGATGCTATCCACAGCCATGAACTTGGTCCTTTGATTTCTCAGGAGAACCTGTGCCTGTCAGGGGCTGGACCCAGAAACCTGTGGTGCCTCATTTTCTTTTGGCTGTTCCTGGAGCATGTACTATAATGGATGTAAGTTTGCCAGAAGCAAGATCCCAAGGAAATTTAAGCTGCTTGGGGATGACCCAAAAGAGGTTAGTTTACTTCCTGATGTATCATCTCTTTATTTTTCATTGAGAATTGAGGATCGTAGATTAAGTCAACAGTATGACATATTTTGAATCACCAAAATTTTAGCCAAACTGTGAGCACATATAAAGTTGACATAATAACAACCATGTTATACCAAAGTAGATAAAACTTAAGCAACATAAAATCTTCTTATATCTGGCCTTTTATATTTATTCTTTGTTAATTGCAGAGTTTTAGGGAGCTGTCGCTTCAGTGTTAAAACTAACATGAGAATTTACGACCATTCTTTCATCTTTTTAATCTGAATTATAGAAGTTATGTTCATGACAGCCACATTCAGAAAAACTTCTGAGTCACATTTACATGCCATCAGATTTATATACAAAGTCACTAATGAATGCATTCAAGTAACAAAAACGTGTTTAGATTTTAATATAAATCTTCAGTTGAAATAAATGAGCATTGATTTCTCATATTGAAGTCACTTGTTTTTGTCCTGCCTCTAGAATATATATTTCTTAAAATATAATTTGCAAACTGATATCAAATTTAACTTTTGGGCAGCATGCAGTCTAAAATACAGATGCTTCTTGATTTACAATGGTCCCTTGTAAGTTGAAATTGTTTTAAGTCAAAAATCCATTTAATACTCTAATAAATCACCATAAAGTCAAAAAAATCTTCAGTCAAACCAGCATAGGACTGTCTATATGCTAACTGAATGTTAGAAAATCTCAGTATATTTAGCAGTTAGAAATGACCAAAATTTCAGTTCCTCTATACCCCTTATAATCATCTTTTGAATTTTAAATACATCTAAAATGTATACTTAATACCATGGTTAATATTGATGTGTCCTTTTAAACAACAACAAAAATGTAACTATAATGGTAAATGAAAGTATAATAAAGTAAGTACAAAAACTCCTGAAATCATGATATAGACTTTTTTCAAAGGATCATGTTTTCAATAATAAATATATTACTTAAATGTGGTAGACGTTGTCTTCTCATAAGAATATGAATAGTTAATAAACTTAATGACAAATGGCAATTTTGCATGTTGTCATTTTAATTTTCTACACTTGAGGGCTTTTATTAGGTTTCTTGTAAAACAAACCTAGAAAGTAGCTAGTAAAATCCTCCCTCTGTTAGGTAGAAGCTCTCTGCTCAGAGACTTCCTCACCTTACAAAATTCACATCTCGGTCAGGTATAAGTACGAATGGAACAACAGTATCACAGCGTATCATAGCCTGCTGTCTTTACTGTGAAATCTATTCTTCATGACCAGGGTGGCTGGGAGTGTGACTGAGCATCTCTCCTTTCAAGTAAACTCTGTAAAGGTTTTCATGTATACCACCTTCCAGTTCTGAGAATTTAATCCATATTTGAAGTGTCCAGTCATTTTCGGTTCTAGGGAGACATCATTTCAACTTCTGAAATGTAAAATATAAAGATTGGAAATAGACAAATCAGTGAGTGGGGAATGTGACCTCTTGCAGACCCCATGACTTCACTCTCCTGACCCTACCACAAATATAAGCATTTTATTTATAAAATGCCAAGTATCTGCCTGCAAAGTAGAAAATCAATTAACCTTACAAAAAAAAAAAATTCCAAATAGCTAGTTAATACAATGGGTGACATATGGTCTATACTTTTCATTTAGAAATAGTCATTTGTAAGAAGCTGTAGTTACTTCAATAACAAAGGCACTATATATTGTCTTTTGGGTCCAATATGTAGGAAGAATAATCTGATAGTCTCTCTTACACATAGAAAGGATTATTTTTTAATGTGTAGAATTATTTATTATATGCAGGAAGAGAAACTGGAGTCTCATTTGCAAAACTTATCCACTCTTATGGCACCAACTTACAAGAAACTGGCGCCTGATGCATATAATAATCAGGTAAGTTTAAATAAATATTGACACTGATTGTCACAATGGGAAATGGTATCATATTAAGCCATGCAAAACTTTTATCATGATGTAAGTAAGTTCATCTTTTAGCCATTATGAACTAATAGGGATTGGATTTACCTTTACACATTTAAGAATAAAACAGACAAAATATATGAAACAATGGTTTTTACACATAGAACAAGCAGCAGCACAAGAGACAATGATACCAGAAAGAAGGAAAATAAAAAGATGAACTCAGGCTCCAGGAAAGGGAGTAGGAACCAAAACATACTCCAGAATTATCTCTGCATTAAGGAGAGAAAGTTCAGAATTTGGAAAGGTCAAAGTGGCTAGAATTCACAATTCAGAATGCCAGAAAGGAGACAGCTTCATTGAGAAGGGATCTGCACTGGGTTCTGTTCAAGTGTTCAAGCTGAGCTCTGAACAGTGCTTGCATATAAGGAAACTACCAAGGCTAGAGAAAGAGCCACCAAAGAAGCAGGTCACAGGCAGAAGCTGGAATAGTTGTTCATACCAGCCAGAGAGGGAAGACCTCATATAATATACTAGCTATCAAGTAAAGTATTCAGAATTGTATTACCTTGGTAGTAGAAGTAGACTTGGCTGTTCTGGTCTCATGTAAACATGTTTAAAATCAAGACATACAAGAATCAAAATGATTCTAAGTAATTTAACAGCATCCCAGAGCAAAGATTGGGGGGGGGGGAGTTCTAACAACCAAAAAGGTAATATTTATAATAGCTAGCATCCCATCAAAAAATACAAGGCAAACAAGCACTTAAAAACTGATAAAGGAAGTTCTTCAGGCAGACAAAGTAATACCAGCTAGAAATCTAGATTGACATACAGGAAGGAAAAGCATCAGAACTAGTATACATGTAGGTAAAAATACTCTTTTTTTAAATGTCCATAAAAGATAATTTGCTATGTAAAATGTATATTAACAATGCACTATGAGGTCTAAAACATTTGGAAGTGGCATAGAGGCTGGGGAGCTGAAAGTGTGCTGTTGTGAAGTTCTGAGCTCTGTGTGGACTGGGGTATTACCTGACTGCAGACTGTCAGAAGTCAAAGACCTCACGGTAAAGCTTAAAGCAAGCACCACTTAACAAAGTGTATAGCTAATCAGCCAGTAAAGAGAAAAATGGAATCAATCCAAAAAAGTTAAAAAAAATGGAACAAAAAAGGAAAATATAAAACAAATAGCAAGACGGTTTACCTACACCCAGCCGCATCAATAGCCACATTAAATGTAAATTGTTTTTAACACCTCTAACTAAAAGGCAGAACTTGTGACATTAAATTTAAAAAGCAAAAACCAAGAAAACCACTTTATAAAGACATAAATAAGTTAAAAGTAAAAGAATAGAAAAAAAATACATTATGTTAACATCCATCAAAAGCCAGCTAGAGTGACAACAAACAGCACAGATTTATAGCAAAGAATGTTACAAGATTAAAGAAGGTTGTTTAATAATGATAGAAGGGTCAGTTCATCAAAAGAACATAATAATTGCTAAGTAGTTATGCACCTAATAACAGAACTTCAACAGTGTATAAATAAAACAAAAACTGATAGGACTAAAAAAAAAATAGAAAAATCCATGATTATAGTCAGATTTTAATACATCTCTCAATAATTGATAGAACAAGTAGACAGAAAATCAGTAAGGAAATAGAAGACTCAAACAGCACTTTTAACCCATTTGGCCTAGTTGACACAGAACTCCCACCTAACAGAATTAGCATTATATTCAGTGCACACGGATGATCGACCAGGATAGAGTATATTATGTTTCATAAAACAAGCATCAGTAAATTTAAGAAGCCTCAAATAATGTTCTACAACCAAAATAAAATAAAAATCTGCAGGAGGATACCTAAGAAATCCCTAAATACCTGAAAACTGAGCAACATGCTTCTAAACAACATACGGGCCAAAGAAGATACAGGAAACTGTAGAGTATTTCAGGCTTTATGGAAACAAAAAATGGCGTTGAAATTTGCAGGATGGAGCTTTAAAGCCTTTGAAATTAAAAAGATACTTATAGCATTTGAAATATGTAAAGTTTCAAGCTAATAGTCTATGCTTCTAACCCAAGAAACTTAGAAAAGAAGAGCAATTTAAGCCCTAAAAGGCAAAAAAAGGAAAAAAATAAAATGGCAAGAACAGAAATCAGTGAACTACAATACAAAAAATAAGACAATGAATCAGTGAAACCAAAAGCTGGTACTTTGAGACAGTTTTATCCATACAAAAGAGAGAAAGAACAAGTCACCAATATGAAGACTTGCAGAGGAGATACCGTTAAGATCCTACAGACATTGGAAGAAGAATAAAGGCATAGTATTCGTGACTTTATGCCAGTAAGTTCAACAAATTAGATTTTATTTGGGGCCATGATTTCATAGATGTGTCCATATATCAAAAATCATCAAACAGCACTCTTGAAATATATACTGTTTAATGTGTGTCAGTCATACCTTGATAACACTATAAAATAAAAACTTTACTATGTCAAAGTGTTTGCTGTATTTTGTTTCTAGATGTAAAGCACAAAACATTTTTTACAGTTCTAAAAAGTCTAAATACTAACGCATCTTTTTGTCTAAGTGTGAAACTACCTGCTTTTCCCACACACTTTTCTTTTTCAGATTGAATATGAGCACAGAGCCCCGGAGTGCCGTCTGGGTCTGAAGGAAGGCCGTCCATTCTCGGGTGTCACTGCGTGCCTGGACTTCTGCGCCCACGCCCACCGAGACCTGCACAACATGCCGAACGGCAGCACGCTGGTAGGGCTGGGGCAGCTTCGCAGCGTTTGGTCAGAGTCACACGTTGTGTGTAGGTGTCGCTGGACAACAGCATTTTCGTGGATGAATTGCTGTTGCAAGGTGACCTTTGGCATAACTAGCACTTCGATGGTAGCTTGACACCTTCATGACTATTCTGCCAGGAGGATCATGGGCATTTTTAATGCCAATGATTAGGCATTGCCAGTTACAGTTAGCTTCCAAGAAAACCTCAAAATTCAGTGTCAGTTGCCTGGTTGGTTATAATCAGTGAAACACAAAACAAAAACAAACACTCAAAAACCATATACAAGCCAAGGTACCAGCTCACCTTGCAGAGAGAAGCCCAAATGAAAAATACATCATTATCACGGTAACTATGGAAACCTGCCGTAAAAGGTGCAGAGTGCAAAATAGCCCGAGTACATCTCCCAGGAAGCGAACTGGATAGGTCTTGTGATTGGAGGCTGTCGTGAGGGAAGGAAATATATAAGATCTTAGGTGGAGCTGTGTTCCCTGCTGACCAAGTCCAGGGTGTTGCCTTGGGGGGAAAGGTCTGATCCAGGGTAGAGAGAAAGAATGAAAGAGTTCAGGTGAAGAGACTGTAATCAACCTCATGGGTCATCAGTCTGGATCAAGTGTAGTTGAAAAAGATGACCAGTGAGACTTAAGATGAAAAATAGAAGCCAGGCATTAAAGTCATATTCTAGGATGGGAAAGAATTCAGGAAGGTAGTAGGTGGTAGCTGGAGTCATTTAAGAAGCTGGAGTGAAGTTTTTGTTGGGACACGGAAAAGGTGTTGGTTTAATGGTCTAGATCAGAGATTGGACAACTCCTCTGTAGAGGACAAGACAGTATTATATTCTAGGCTTTTGTAGGCCACATGGGAGAGTCTCTGTCACATTCTTTGTTTTGTGAGGTTTTTAAAAAGAACCCTTTGAAAACATAAAAGCCATGCTTGGTTGCTGGCCATGCACACCAAGCTGTGAGGCAGATTGGCCCCAGGCCCTGGTTTGCTGACTCCTGACCTGAGAGAATGAATGAACACGGGGCCTGCTAAGCACCGCGATGTCTAAACCACCACTGGTCATGCATGGAGCCCCTGTTCATTATTGGGAGGCTATGCTAGATTCTGGAAAGCGCAGGAGAGAAGTGATAGCCAGAGCTGTAGCAGGTCCCAAAGATAACGATGTTGCCTTCCAGCAAGGCAGTGGGCGGGGGAAGATGGTTATAGAATCAAGGGGAAGGAAGTAAAATGGAAAGAAGCTCTAGATAAGAAGTGAACGGAGTTGAATATGTATGAGAAAAGGTGACGAGGTGCTCAGATGTGAATTTGGAAGACTTTTGTATAAGAAGTGACAAACTCATTATGTGATTTCATGTTAAAATTATTTATAAAGGTTGGCCTATTATGATCACATTCCTTTTAATGATATCTTTTCATGATTTTATATTACCTTATGCTTGAGGCTATATTTTCTCCATGGATCAGAAATACAAATAGGTGGGGCATAATGGCTCATACCTGTAATACCAGCATTCTGGAAGGCCAAGGCTGGAGAATCACTTGAAGCTAGGAGTTTGAGACCAGCCTGGGCAACACAGCAAGACCCCATCTCTACAAAAAAAAATTTTTTTTTAATTAGCTGGCTGCAGTGGTGTATGCCTGCAGTCCTCGCTACTCAGGAGGTCCAGCCAGAAGGATCACTTGAGCCCAGGAATTGGAGGCTGCAGTGAGCTGTGATTGTACCACTACACTCCAGCCTGGACATCACAGTGAGACCCCATCTATTTATATTAAAAAACAAAAAAATCTTTCATCAAAACCAATATAATTGTAGTGAACAAAAGAAAAAATTACTGTTAAGTTATCAAAACAACTTAAGTAGCTTCTCCACCCCTTTTCAGAGTACCCACTTGAATATGGTGTTATTTCCCAAAAGAAATCCATGAGTTAGGTTTGACAGAGTACAGAGAAGGAGAGAAAAGATAGATAAGAATGAGGTTAAGTTGCATATTCCCTCTCATGATAGAATCTTAAGCTTTTCATTGTTTTAGATTTTTACTTTGGTATCTTGTGGAAATTTCTTCAAACAGTGAATTTCTTACACAGAGGTAGATGTCAGGAGTGAGGAAATTTCTTTGTATACAAAAGTATGAGATGAAGCAAATGTGATGCTACCTAAAACACAGGAGGTCATTTGGTAAAAGAGACATTTAGCCCGTATTTGAAGAGGCTTCACATCCGTTTCTGAAATGTGGAAAGCAGGAGGCTGCTTCCTTTTGGTGGGACTGCTTCTTCCCTTAGAGTCGCTGTGGGTAACAGTTCCTGATAAACTAACAAAGGGAGGGGGAGTAATGTGAACTTCTCTTTATCTCCCTGTACCATTTGGATGCTGTCTTCATCAATAACAGATAGATACGGTTTTATGGTGACGTACAGCTAAGCTGCCAGCACAAACCTCGATGCTGAGCAGGAAAAAGATGCGACGCCCATTCCTTTGGCCTGTACCTGGGCAGTAACGTCTCCCTTCCCTCCCCACCAGGTGTGCACTCTCACTAGAGAAGACAATCGAGAAATTGGAGGGAAACCTGAGGACGAGCAGCTGCACGTTCTGCCTTTGTACAAAGTTTCTGATGTGGATGAGTTTGGGAGTCTAGAAGCTCAGGAGGAGAAAAAACGAAATGGTGCCATTCAGGTCCTGAGTTCTTTCCGACGGAAAGTCAGGATGTTGGCAGAGCCGGTCAAGACCTGCCGACAAAGGAAACTAGAAGCCAAGAAAGCAGCTGCTGAAAAGCTTTCCTCTCTGGAGAACAGCTCAAATAAGAACGAAAAGGAAAAGTCAGCCGCAGCACGCACAAAACAGACTGAAAATGCAAGCCAGGCTAAACAGTTGGCAGGTAAATTTAGTGTGAAGCACTGCAGATATATGTTAGGGGACGCTTGTATTGAAAGTGAGCACTGCTAATTTTGTACGGTTGCACCAATCATGGTCTTGGTTTTGTGCCAGAATCCTCTGTAAAGTAGCGCGGGCCAGGCTCTGCTCCCAGAGATGGTGATGAAACAGTGTGCCGTCAGTTCAGCTGGATAGAGAAGTTTGGATTTCCTTCTATAATAAACAGCAGAGTTTTTAACAGATTAATGATATGGTGAATTAATCTGGCAATGGCAGGTAGACCAAAGTAGAAGTAGAGGAGTTAATAGTTTGGAGACAGACGTAATAAACTGAGAGTGCGGTGACAAGATCTCAAAAATGATGCAAGTTGAGTTCTTCCAAAATGAAAAAATAAAACAATCGATACATTGGTGACAACACATTAGAATGAAGAAGAAAAATTTAAGGATGACTCCAAAATTTTAACCCTACACTAAGTTGGTATTTTCTTTCCATAGCACCTTGCTTTATATGTCTACAGTTAGTATTATAAAAAAATCCAAATTTTGAAGACGGTGTTGGCCTATTAACACAAGAAAAAACTATATCTTTTAAGTTAAGTGCACCAGTTTGCTTAGAACCAATCATCTTTGGGTCACAAAGTCCAATTTCCTTACTGATTCATTTCCAAGCTCAGAGTAACTAAGGAATTCAGAACAATATGCTAAAGATACTTAACACGTATTTGTTGATTGGTTGATTTCCACTAAGAAGCAAATCCTGTTCACCCCCTGATATCTGCTTTAGGTTGGCTATGAAATATAATCAGATAGAACTTTGTCTTTCTTCCCTTCTAAGTGGTTTCTGCAGATACTAATCACTTCAGTTCTCAGAACTGACAGTGCATTTCCATCTATTTGTTCTTAACTCAGAGGACTTTTTTTTTAAGTGAGGACATGAAACAGAAGTATGACTTTTAACAGTTTCACTTGCAAAGCTGAAAGTTTCTTTAAAGTGTTATCTATAATTATGTAAATTTCCTTTCTGGAAAGAAAATATACAAGATTATGCTTTTTCTGTTTAAGTGAATGTCATTCTTTTTCTGGTAACATTCCTGAACCTTCTGTAACAAATCTTATGTTACTTTATTTTAATTATGTAACTGAGTCTGTTACATACCAGGCATTGGAGAAATAAAGCACAATAAGACATCCCTCCCCTTCTAGGAGCCCAGCAGTGGGGGTGGGAATGGGGCTAAAACCAGGCAATTACAATACATTATGGCTACTGCTTTATCACATCTGCACTTGCAGTGGGCACTGAGAAAGCACTGGAAGACGAGGTGACAGGAATCTTCCTTGAGGAAGGGACGACTAAGCCGAGCAAGGGCTGGGAGGAGGGTGCTTCAGGCAGAGGCATGTTTAGAAGCTCTAGAGAAAGTGGTGCTCTCAATGGGATGGCTTTGGAGGTTTATGATGTCTTTCTTGACTCGCTGTTGTAAGTTCTGTACTTTATTTCTGATGCTGTAGACACAGACAGTCATGCTGGGCAGTGAGCATGGCCCCAACTTTGCTCTTGTCCTTGCATAGTGGGAATTGTGTAATCCTGGTGGTGCTTCTCACAGATGTTTAAGCATCCTCACTAGCCTTCATAGAACAACTATCCAGCATGTCTGTTCCCACTCTCTCTTCCTGTCCACAGAACTTCTGCGACCTTCAGGACCAGCCGTGCAGCCGCTGCAGAAGCAGCCCCCGCAGCCCCCGAGACCCCAGCAGCTCCAGCTGCCTGCGACTGGTCATGCTCAGTCCGAGGCTGTCAACTCTTACGCTGCTTCTGGATCCACCGGCCCATACATGCGATGGCCCAACCCAGTTAGTCCTTATCCCGGCTCTTCACACGCTGCTGCGGATATTTACGGGGGTGCCAGCTCTGTGAACCTCTATTCCACCTCATCCCACACCGCAGGTTCATATTTAAATTCTTCTAACCCCATGAACCCCTACCCTGGGCTTCTGAACCAGAATAACCAATATCCGCCATATCAATGCAACGGAAACGTGTCGGTGGACAACTGCTCCCCGTACCTGGGCCCCTATTCTCCCCAGTCTCAGCCCATGGGCCTGTACAGGTACCCAAGCCAGGACCGTCTCTCTAAGCTCAATCTGCCCCCCATCCACGCACTCTACCAGCCACGGTTTGGAAATAGCCAGAGTTTTGCTTCTAAGTACTTGGGTTATAGAAACCAGAATATGCAGGGAGATGCCTTCAGCAGTTGTACAGTTAGACCGAACGTGCACCACGCAGGGACGTTCCCTCCTTATCCCACCCACGAGTCGGACGGCCACTTCATGGGGGCTGCCTCCAGGGCCCCTCCCAATCTGAGCAGTGCAAACGTAGACTATAGAAATGGCGAGCATCACCCGTCTTCTCAGCTGCCTCACAAGCACAGCGCAGCGCCGGGCGTGCGCGGCAGCCCTCTTCACGCCCTGCGTCCGCAGAGCAGGGACAGCGACTCGCTTCCCCACGCGGCGAATGGGCTGTCCCAGGTGCTCCCGGCTCTCAGCCACGACGGCCCCGCCTGTGTCCAGGGCGGCGCGGCACAGAAACCGCACGAGGCTCCCGGCGCGCAAAAGCAGCCGCCGGCGCCGGAGGAGGAGGAGGTCTGGTCGGACAGCGAGCAGAGCTTCCTGGACCCCGACATCGGCGGCGTGGCCGTGGCCCCCACGCACGGCTCCATTCTCATCGAGTGCGCCAAGCGCGAGCTGCACGCCACGACCCCGCTCAAGAACCCCAACAGGAACCGGCCCACCAGGATCTCCCTGGTCTTCTACCAGCACAAGAGCATGAACGAGCCCAAGCACGGCCTGGCCCTCTGGGAGGCCAAGATGGCCGAGAAGGCCCGGGAGAAGGAGGAGGACGGCGAGAGGCACGGCGCGGACCACGCGCCTCCCAGGACGCACGGCAAGAAGGCGCGGCGCGAGCCCGCCGAGCCGCCCGAGCCCGCGCACCTGCGCTTCCTCCGGTCGCTGGCCGAGAGGACCGCGTCCCTGACCACCGACTCCACGGTGACCACGTCCCCGTACGCCTTCACGCGGGTCACAGGGCCTTACAACAGATACACTTGACGCCGCCCTCGCCGGCTACCTCGGCGGGAACCCTCCGCTCACCAGCGAAACCGAGCGGTCGCACCGCAGCACTTAGTGTCCGCCACGCCCGCGGGCGGAGGGGCACCGGGAGAAAGACCAAAGCATCCTATGCAAAACGCAGGTAGGGAAAAAGTGTCCTGCAATTACATTTTTCAACACTGGTTCTATTACTGGACGAGATGGTAGGTAAATGTGATTCTTTTTCCCCCCTTACAACTCTACGCGTCTGTGACCACTTTGAACAATACCGAGGTTGCATAGTGATGGAACGCAAATCAGCAAGTGCTGGAGTAGTACAGGGACAGGAATCCTAACTTACCATCTGGTGCTGAATACACGATGTACTGAAATACTGGAATTATGGCTTTTTAACATGGCAGTTCTTACTGTAATCTTAATATTAACTTTTATTTATCAGAATAGCTACAGAAAAACAAATGAATAGCAGCAAAACACTGAATTGTTTGGATGTGCTAAGAAATGGTGCTAAGAAAATGGTGTCTTTAATAGTTGAACATTTAATGCCTTTCTGTCATCAGGACGCTGTCAGCGTCCTCCAGTGCCCTTGAATGACGGGTACCTTTTCATCCAAGCTTTTATCGTAACGACCTATTCTTACACAAGCTTAGTTTTTAAGATGTGGACATTTCAAAGGCCTCTGGATTTTGGTCATCCAGTGAAGTCCTTGCAGGACGAAAAACATATATATGTACATATATACACAAACGTATGTATATGTGCACACACGTATATGTATAAATATTTTAAATGGTGTTTTAGAAGCACTTTGTCTACCTAAGCTTTGACAACTTGAACCATGCTAAGGTACTGAGACGTTTAAAAAAACAAGTTTACTTTCATTTTAGAATACAAAGTTGATTTTTTTTAATGAAACAACAAAAGCTTTTAAAATATTATTGCTTTTAGCCATGTATCTGCTGATGAGCAATTGTGTCCATTTTTAACACAGCCAGTTAAATCCAAAACGGGGCTTGCTGGATTAAGGGAATACTTCAGTCCACAACACGCGTTTTCTGGTGCTCATCTCACATGTTATACTGTAAAACAGTTTTATACAAAATTGTCTGACAAGTTCATTGCTCAAATATGTATAGTTTTAAGGATTTTCTATTAACTGCAGGTAATCATTAGCCGCATGCTATACTGACTCAACAAAGCTAGTTCACTTCAGCCTGTGCTGTTTTGTGGATCTGTCTGCTCCTCAGAGAACTTTCTGGCAGCCTGTTTGTGTGGATAATTATGTACATTGTGTCATTGTCATTTCTTAGCGTAAGTGTCCTCTTTACTGGGCAGATGGAGCAGACTGATGCCTGCATGAGATTAAAACACAGGGTTAGTTCCACGTGAATCTGTTGGTTAAAAAAGAAACAACAAAAAGAAAAACAGGCAGCTGGTTTGCTGTGGTGGTTTTAAAATCATTAATTTGTATAAAGACGTGAAAGAATTGTATAGTAAATTAAATTGTAAACAAAAACTTTTTTAACACAATGCTTTAGTATTTTAGTACTGTAAAAAAAATTAAATATATACACACATTTATACAGATAGAGATGGATATGGATCTGAAGCGGAGCTCACATCACGACGGTGCTACTCATCCCGCCACAGATGTGCGGTGATGTGCGCTGGGAATCCGTGACAGGCTCAAGTGGTGTTCCTATTTGTCATTTACCTCAACACTAGCTTGGCAATAGGGTCTGGAGCTGAGGGTGAAAGCTCATAGCATCGTGTGTGCCATCATTTTTTCCAAGTCTTTTATTATTATTATTATTAAAAACATACCTTTTTTCAATACTTGATTTCTTAGCAAGTATAACTTGAACTTCAACCTTTTTGTTCTAAAAATTCAGGGATATTTCAGCTCATGCTCTCCTTATGCCAACAATGTCACCTGTGTTCATGTAAGAGTTTTGTAGGTTAATAAATATATTCTTTGTCAGGGATTTAACCCTTTTATTTTGAATCCCTCCTATTTTACTTGTATATGTACTGATGTAACAAACTAATTTTGTAAATCTGTTGGCTCTTTTTATTGTAAAGAAAAGCATTTTAGAAGTTTGAGGAATCTTTTGACTGTTTTAAGCAGGAAAAAAATGCACTGAGCTGATAAAGGGAAAAGGCAGGAGTTTGGCAAGTGGCTGTTGGCTAGAGTCTTATCTCTCTAAATAAAGCTTTGTTGATCCTGTACTCAAATACAGGTACATACTCCATGAGAACTTCCCCAAACAGGCAAAACACCTAGAGGTATGGTGTACAGTGGACTGTACAATTACCTTTTGGCCTAAGTACATTTTAGCTTCCTAACATTTCAAATAAACTCTGCATCAAAGGAGGCCTTTAGGTTTAATTGGTCAAATCTTTATAAGATGGATTTTGTCCTTTAAAAAAAAAAATGAGTGTTTGGCTGTGTCCAATTTACAAACATTTCACAAAATGTTTTGCTTGCAAACAAACCACGGGATTGTAATGTTTTACATATACCATAATATCGAACCTCATATATTTGGTTTCTGTTATCCACTGTCATTTGTCAAACTGCTGGCCAAGAAAAGCAGGAAGTATAGTTTGGGGGGTGAGGGAGAGACAAGGTCAGGAGGAGGAGAGGAAAGTGAGTGGCAAAACTGTAAATATCAGATCTGTACTTGTAACTATCAAACCTGCCTCAGTTAGGATGAATTGGGAAGCAGAGCTACGACTTGCTTATATAGGAATATCAGGTTGACTGTATAGCCATACTTGAAAATGCTTCTGAGTGGTGTCAACTTTACTTGAATGAATTTTTCATCTTGATTGATGCACAGTGATGTACTGCTCACTTCTAAAGCTAGTGGTTAACTTGTGTAGGAAACTTTTGCAGTTTGACACTAAGATAAGGAATTTCTGTGTGCATTTTTCTATGCTTTATTTTTTTAAGCTTAGTTTCATTTCATTTTCATGAGATGTTTGGTTTGTTTATAAAATCTGAGGATGGTTATAAATACTGTAAGTATTGTAATGTTATGAATGCAGGTTATTTGAAAGCTGTTTATTATTATATCATTCCTGATAACGCTATGTGAGTGTTTTTAATAAAATTTATATTTATTTAATGCACTCTAAGCACTGTCTTGCTGAAGTTTGTTTTACTGCCTGAATGACTGCCACCTTGCTGAGAACAAAGGGAATGAAAAAAATTGGTTTTTAAAGATATTTTTGAGGCAGTTATTATTAAACTATAATGTCTAAATAATTAAGACCAAAGTTTTCATCTCTTCCTTTCCTTTGCCTCATGCTAGGAGGTTCTGTGTTCACTGACCGCTCCCCGGCCGACGGCCCCTCCCGCCCGAGGAAGCACGCGCTGCTTTCCAGCTCTCCCCGCCCGCCCGCTCCGCGCAGGCACGGGAGCCGGGAGCGGGGCGGCGGCGCTGCCGTCCTTCCCGGCCGTGCGTGAGGCCGCGCTGGGCTGAGCTCCCCGCTCAGGTCTGCGGTCCTCTTCCTGCCTTCTCCAGGATAGGCACCTCTTCCCGCCCTGCTGTCAGAGCAGCAGGCAAGAGGCGGGGGGACAGGGCCTCGGAGGCAAGTGACATGTCCTCGCCAGTCCCACGCGGCTTCAGAACTGTCCTCGACTCTACCCATTGTCTGCCGCGTGAACCACCCCGCGCGCTCGGCCCAAACCCTTCTAGAACCGTGGAGATTTTGATGGGAGGCTCCCAGCCCTCCGCCCCTTCCGGGATTGGCAGAAAAATCACTTTCATCATGCATGAAGTAAGGGAATTCCCTTTCTCATATTTTTCTGTAGTCTGCTTGGGCCAAATTTGAGTCAAATAGTGAAACCCGGGGAATGCTTTAGTAGTCATTAGTGACCTTTGAGCTCACTGCCTGGGAGCTTCCTCCAAGACTCTGCTCCAAGCCAGGCTATTAGAAGAAACATCACTGTTAATCACTTGGGCGCCCCGCGGAGGAGCCCACGGCGCGACCCGAGGGCGCACAGCCCGGGCCTCGGTCCCCAGCCGGGCGCTTTTACTTTCGCGGCGTCGTCTCTGCAGCTGCAGAGTGTGCGTTCAGCTAGTAAGTTACTACGGATCTGGGACCTTTTAACAAGTCCTTCGTAGGAGTTGCTATAGTTATTTTCCTAAAGCTGCCTGCAAAGTGACGCAGGCTTTCAGTGCTTCCGAGCTTCCCGTCCCAAGGGCAGAGCGGGCGCGCGCCCGGCCACGCAGGCGGGCGGGAGCCCCGGGCCACGTGGTTAAAAAGCGGTGATTAATAACCTGGCTGTGTTCGTTTCTTTAAACTTCAACCCTCTGGGCACATTGTCAACCCTCATTTCACTGCCCATCTATCTTCTGGCTGAAACTTGGGAACCTCCCGCTCGTGACCTTCGCGAGTCTCCGAGGCCCACGAGGAGAACGGAGGGCTGGAGACGGCACTCCTGACACGCCCTGGCACGCCCTGGCCGCTCTGGCACGCCCTGGCCGCTCTGGCACGCCCTGGCACGCTCTGGCACGCCCTGGCACGCCCTGGCCGCTCTGGCACGCCCTGGCACGCCGTGGCACGTCCTGGCACGCCCTGGCCGCTCTGGCACGCCCTGGCCGCTCTGGCACGCCCTGGCACGCCCTGGCCGCTCTGGCACGCTCTGGCACGTCCTGGCACGCCCTGGCCGCCCTGGCACGCCCTGGCCGCTCTGGCACGCTCTGGCCGCTCTGGCACGCCCTGGCACGCCCTGGCCGCTCTGGCACGCTCTGGCACGTCCTGGCACGCCCTGGCCGCCCTGGCACGCCCTGGCCGCTCTGGCACGCTCTGGCACGTCCTGGCACGCCCTGGCCGCCCTGGCACACCCTGGCACGCCCTGGCACACCCTGGCACGCCCTGGCCGCCCTGGCACGCCCTGGCACGCCCTGGCCGCCCTGGCCGCCCTGGCCCCCGCAGGCGCCGGGGCGAGCGCGCTGCAGGCCGCGGCGGAGCAGGCAGGCCCGCGGCCCCAGCCTGCGGGTGGACCTGAGCAAGGGGCAGCTGGAAGTGACCGCTGAGCCGCGTCGCAAAGCCGCACCGGCCCCTCGCCTCCCCAGAGTCGCGGAGAACGCGCTGCGCAGCAGGCTCGCACGCAGCCGCCGCCGCGCCCCCGCCTCGCGTCCGGCTCCGGGCCGTTGCGGCTTCGCGCAGGCGCCCGCCTCCTGCCGCGCCTCTGCACTCCGCGTGGTGACCAGACTCAGCCCTAGGCCCTTATTCAACCAGGAACCTACTCCTCCAGTGCTGAAAATTCTAAACTTGTTTTGTTGGCTTAACCACTTGGGCCCGGCGCTCACCGGCGCGCCCCAGCCGCCTCCCAGTCCCCACGGTGGTCCGCGCTGCGTGTCGCCGCGTCCGCTCTGCTCTTGTGAGGCGAGGAAAGCTTGAAAGCACTGAAAGCTCGTGTCACTTTACAGGCAGCTTTACTGTCATGTAAATCAGAATAGGTAACATATACATATGTGTTTTCATCACGTTATTTTTAAATGTTCACAATTTTATTTTGATAAATGAAAAATCAGAAAAGTCCTATCACGGCTGTCGGCTACAGTCGCTGTGCGCGTTCATCTGTGGCTGTCGCCTACAGTGGACGCTGGTCCCGAAGTGGTTAAAGGCCATCTGGAAACAGGAGGGCTGCGGAGCGGTCCTGCTCCCGTGCTGCGTGGGAGGGCAGCTGCGCTGCACCAGCCGCCCCTAGCTTCAGCCACCGCCAGCACGTCCCGCCCTCCCGCTCCCCTGAGAAATACGCCACTAAGCTGTCCAAGAGGTGAAGAGCTGCTTTCTCTTGCTTTTAGGGCATGGATATGGCACTGCTCTTCTTGAAATTCTTCTTTGATTCAATGTATTGAATGAGCATGAGCATTCCTTGTTGAATCTCCCCTTCTGTGCCATGTTCCCGTGCTGTTGTGAGTGCATGGAGATCCATTCTGCATCCACACGTATTTGGGCAGAAACAATACTGGTGATTGAACAGCAACGCATCGCATGAGTGTCTTCTTATCCCACTTCTTATCCTACCATGCACATAATTTTTCCAAGCAGTCAGTGAGTTTTGCTGGCTTCTTCAGGAAAACGCAGATTTTCCTGTAAGAGACATGGTTTCACACTATCGCCCAGGCCAGGGGTAAAGTGGCCCAATAGCAGGTCACTATAACCTCAAAGTCCAGGGCTCAAGGGATGCTCCTACCTCAGCTTCCTGACTAACTAGGAGTATAGGTACCCGCCCCCACATCCAGCTAACTTTTGAATCTTTTTGTAGAAACGAGGTCTTACATGGTACCCAGGCTGGTCTTAAACTCTTGGCCTCAAGCCATCTTCCCACCTCAGCCTCTCAAAGTGCTGGGATTTCAAGCATGAGCCATCCCAGCTGGCCCCGAATGTGGCTTTAATTAATTCATTAAAAGCTCCTGGAGTTTCATCAGCTAGAAGGAATGCCAATGTAGACAAATGACACATTTTTAAACTGAAGTGTGTGTTGTTGCTGTATCATGGGGCCAATCAACTCATCTCAATTGTCCAACAAATAAATTGGGCTGAATGGAAAAAACTTCATTGATAACATCCTGAAATTCACTTATAGAAACCTTGATCACATCTAATTTTAAATCTGTAAGTACAGTTTGTAGATTCAGTTAGACTTTAGGGATTTCAGACTTTAGGGATTTCAGACTTTACTTAGATTTTAAGGATTTGGGTCATTTTGGGATTACAGCATTTGGAGTTGTGTCTTTTGGAATCAGGATTGGCTCTGTAGACTAGATGTCCAAAGACTGACCTTGAGTTAATGTTCAGAGATTGAAAAGTGGCTTGTGTGAGTAAGGAGGGAAGGGACAACTCAAGAGTAAGTCCTTGGACTTGAAAAGACAAAATTCAGAACAGAGCAGCCAGAGTCTACAAAGTAATACAGAGACGTGTGTTTCAAACCGTATTCCCTGGGTGTAATCTACATTCAGGGCAGTGGGGAAAATAAAACGCATGAGAGCGCCAGCCTCCTCAGGAGGCGGCGACAGGAGGCGGAGCCGTGTCCCGCACAGGGGCTGGGCCAGCTGGAGGGAGCAGGCGCCCACGCAGCTGGTCAGCGGGACGCACCGGAGGACCTGCTCCCGGGGGGAGGCTCGAGGGCCAGGTGAGGTCTGGGCGAGGCTGAGGGTAGACGGGCGCCCGAGGGCCCTCTGTTTGAGGAACGCTCCCTCCGGCAGACCACAGAACAGGGCCCTTCTCTGGACGGGGCTCTCCCATTGTTTCCAGTGGCAATCGGAGGCCATCTAGGCAAATTTTGGCTTTAAATAATTGATTCCCAGCTCTGTTCTTGGGTGAGTCACGTACGATTCTGACGCAATTTCCTCATCTTCAGCAAATGGGAACGGCAGCCTGTCCGTCCGGGGTGGGCCGAGCCCGGGAGGGCGGCGGTGGGCTGGCGAGTCTGAAGCGCACGGAACCCCTGGCGACCCACCGTGGCCGCAGGAAGTAGAATGGAAACGCGGTGGCCAGGAGAAAGGGGTCTTTCGGAAAGAACCAAGTCAGCAGAAGAAATGAGCAAAGCCGTGGCCCCAGCAGCCCCGAGAGTGAGTGTCTTTAAAAGCAGCAGAGAGGCGAAGGGAGGAGCAGAGTGTCAAACGCACGGAGGACGCTCGTGACCCCAAAGCGGGAGGCTGCAGCGGACAGAATTAGGCAAAGGGACTAGAAGACGGAGGGCACGATGCTTTTTTCCTGCTGAACCGAGAAAGTGAAACATCTAAACCAAGAGTTAAATGTTGGCCAAATCGAAAGCCAGCCAATAAATCATTGTTTATTTTTACGAAAAACTTCAGGACAAGTCGGCGGCGTTTGGTGACACGCCCATTTGGTGACCGCATTTGGTGACCACATTTGGTGACATCGCGAGCAGCGTCTGCCATGCAGTGCGAGCGGACACCTGCCTCCTCCCGTGCGGCCTCCTGCGGCCGGAGCCCGAGCCCGAGCCGGAGCCGGAGCCCGAGCAGGAACCCGAGCCCGAGCCGGAGCCGGAGCCGGAGCCCGAGCCCGAGCCGGAGCCGGAGCCGGAGCCGGAGCCCGAGCCGGAGCCGGAGCCGGAGCCCGAGCCCGAGCCGGAGCCGGAGCCCGAGCCCGAGCCC